TCTATATTGAAAACTGTTAAAGCTGACATTATTCCAGGAAAGTCTTATCCCACTATTCTACTTTCCATGCAAATATTCTGGACAGTTTTAGAGATTCCAGAGCTTCCAAACATCTAGTAAGATACTCAGACAGGAATCTGGATTATAGATGCACCAATTCCATTTCAGTAGTAAATGATCCCCCTTGTGATTCTTGTATTTTTCCAGTTAAGTATATTCTATTTGCACCAAGGAAAGCTACTGAATACTGCTGTATCTTTACCTGAAGATCAAAGAAAAAAAAAATCAAGCCTACACAGTGTGGGCCATGAAAAGAACATATTAAAAACACATTGCCAAGTTGTCACAGCAAATGACAGTTAAAATGAATCAATAAGTAACTCTACATTTATCTAATGACTATCTGAAGGTCAAAAGCTTTGATACAGTCTCACAAAAGAGACAGCACAAGCATCAATGCATAGGGTGAACCAAATATTAAATAATATATTTGGGATAGGACTGGGATATGTTAGATTTGGAGTGAAGAAGCTCAGAGTCTGTCTCACACTTCCACCTCCAGAATTACTTTCGTTAGAAAAAAAGTGACCATGTTTTGAAAGGTTTATAAGAGCTTTAAAGAGACAGGATTCAGGAGACGTATTTATGTGCTGGAGTTCACATCTAGAAATGTATAAACAGAGACAAGAACTTACTGGAATTGACTATAGATTTACCATAAAATGTCATTCTATTAATCTCAATTGCTGTATCATCTCCACTATCTTACCCTGTCCTAACATGCCTGGAAATAGACATACTCCACTGCTTAGAAGGAATTAAAATATCAGAAAAAAGAAATTAACATACAGGAGTGAAGACAAATAACTTGTACTTAAAAGATAGATTAAAGAGATGACAGATTGTTATTAAAAAAGAAAAGATGTTCTCACCCCCACATACGCACTCCTATTAAAGATGGCAAAAAAGTTTAGCATAGAACAAGAAAAGCTACATCTGGGAGACTGAGTTAATTGCACTTTATGTAACTTTTACTCTAATGGCAACTTGTACTGCTGCTCTCTCATCCTTGTATTTTTGGCTTTGAGTAGGAAGATGCATTTGTCAGTCACCCCAAATAGAAAAATGGGGGTGTTGGTGCTCTCGGTTCAACGGTTCCGGAGCAGCGATCAAGATCACTTCATTTGAAGTGCTGCCATCACACGTGTGCTTGTGAAGCCTTCCCAAAGCGGAGCGGAGAGCAGGGGGATGGCAGGCGCAGAGAGCAGTAACACAAGCCCTAGAGAAGACTTTCCCTCATCCTTCCTTTTATAGGGATGGAATGCATTTTGGGCTTTTATTCCACTTTCCTTCTTCAGCCCCTGTTCTGAGCAGGTGCACGAACTATCCCTAGCAAGGGTCACCCCAGCCAAGAAGTACAACAAGAGGGTAACACACACACGCTCTGGTTACACCCGCTGTCCTCACTACACATGAAATACTCATCAGAGCAATTCTGATCTAGGCACTGCAGCCGCATGCCATTAACTCACTTATTTTACATAAGATGAAACTGTAGAAGAGTAATTAATGAAATTGTGAGGTCTCATTTACAAGAATAAATGGATACCACCTTTTTTTTTTGTCCTCAAGAATATTACGATGTGGTAGGAAAGAGCATTGCTACAAATTAACCTTAAGAAAATATATAAAAAATTGCATCTTCAATAATCAAGAAGAAAAGAACACCAGAAGGTATATTTTGAAAGTCACGCATTACCAGCATATTTCTCAGTGGTGAAGTCGGTATAAACAGCAGAGAGGGGAGGGAAAAGAAGAAGTGAGGAAAGGAGACCAGATGATAAGAGAAAGTTATACCAGGTTAAGGCAGAAAAAGACAGTTCTACATCAGGGTTTGCTTTTTTCCAATCACCTTTTCAAGAGATACAAGATTAAATTAGCTCTGAGCCTTGGCTAGCAGAATACTGATGTTCGTGGACGTGGCTTAATTAAACCTATTTATAGGCTCATCTGTTTATACTTCTAACCTTTTTCTCAGTCACAAGTCACAATTTAAGCTTCTGAACAGGGCAAGAGGTCGCTCCCACTGATGAGGAGGTAGCAAGTGCTTCTACAAGGGCACCTATGCACATATTTAAACACAAATGGGAGGGCAGTCAGAAAACACCTGCACTGGGGATCCTCCACACACACCAGGAATCCTGAAATCAGCCACAACTGGCCACAGGCTGAAAAGCAACCAGGAGAGACTCACCATGTTATGCAGAAAAAGGAGAACAAACAAATGTTGAAGAAACTACGCCCTGATACATGCTAAGTGAAAACACACATCGGAGCTCAGATGGGGTAAACTGGCTTAGAATATAAGTTATTGCAACCGTTTTTATCACAACAACCCCTCCCAAAGCTAACGTTTACCTCAGGGTCTCCGCCCGGGCCACGCAGCTAAAATGAAAAGCGGGCTCCGCGCGGAGGGGGTGGCCGAGGTGGCCCCCGCGCGGGCGGGCGCTGAGGGCCGCCCCCTCCCCACACCCCCCGGCCCCGGGGCCCCCCTCACCTCCGCGATGTCATTTTCCCCCGCGGCGCGGG